AGACGTGATAGCAGTGTTCCAATATTTGAGGGGCTGCCACAGAGAGAGGGGGGGGGGGGGTCAGCTATTTTCCAAAGCACCTGAAGGCCAGGCAAGGAATAATGAATGGAAACTGAACAAGGAGAGATTCAGCCTGGAAATAAGGAGAATTTTTCTGACAGTGTCTGTTTTTGTTTATTTCCGTTTGCAGCAAGGATTTAAAGGTTTTCAGATTGCCCCCGAATATCACAACCACCAAGTCCAGTTTGTCTACAACGACAAGGAGTTTGAACTAACACATGGGTCAGTTGTGATTGCTGCCATTACTAGCTGTACCAACACTAGCAATCCTTCTGTGATGCTTGGAGCTGGTAAGTTGTCATTTAGAGTACTCGCTAAACCAAAGATAGAGGTAGATAGCCCTCGACTTACGACCACAATTGAGGCCAAAATTTCTGTGGTTAAGCGACGCAGTTGTTAAGTGAGTTTTGCCCCATTTTACGACCTTTTTGCCACAGTTTGTAAGTGAATCATGGCAGTTGTTAAATGAATCATGCAAATGTTAAGTTAATCTGGCTTCCCCCATTGACTGCTTGTTGGAAATCAGCTGGTAAGTTTACAAATGATGATAACATGACCCTGGGACACTGCAACTACCATAAAGCACCCAAATTTTAATCACGTGACAATGATTGTGAGAAAACTGATCACTTTTTCAGTGTTTTTGTAACTTCAAACAGTCATTAAACAAATGGTTGTAAGTCGAGGACTACCTGTACTGCACATTTAACCACAAAAATTTAATTTAATAATTTAATTTAATTTAATTGACAGCAAACTGTTTTAAAGAGTCTTAGATTTCCTTCCACAGAAGTTGAATTCCAGAATTCTCTGGCAAGAGAGAATGGCTATTAAAATCAGCTGAAAAGTGATGAAGAAGAGGCTGTTCCCTGCCCCTTTTACTTCTTCCTGATTTTTCATTTTATTGAAGGCAGTACAGATTCCATGAAACTGAATAATTACGTTTCTCCAAGATTTCTTGGGATGTGCAAAAGCACTGCATTCCTGACTGTAACACAGAGTCTGAGATATACGTCAGTCTTGGTTTTCAGTGGCTTGGGCCATAAATCATAGAGAGCACATTGTTGCAGTGTTATTCCATTGAGTTATTATCATGAGAATCATAGAGCTTGCTGGGCTTCTAAGTGTTTACAAGAAAGCAGCAGGAACAAGATTTCCATTACTATGGGAAACAGTGGTTTCACATTTTGGATTTCTCTCTATTTCCGAGGCAAAAGAGACAGTATCAGATTTTCTTTTCTTTTTTTGAGCCATTGGTTAGGACAGTGATGGCTAACCATTTTCCTATCGCGTGCCAAAAGTGGGGGGAGCGCAGGGGGGGTCGTATGCAGGTGTGCCCACACCAATAATGATATACGCCCAACCCCCCATGCGCATGTGACACCCCACTTTTGATGCACGATCGACCCGTTTTTTGCCCTCCGCAGGCTCCAGAGGCTTCCTGAAGCCTCCCGAGGGCAAAAAACAGCCCAACACACAAACCAGAAATCCGTTCCCAAAATTCCAGTTTGCACGTTAGCCCTAAAAGACACTCTGGAGGGTGAAAAACAGCCATAAAAGAAGGCCGAAGTTGGAGCTGACAGGGCAACGCCTCATGCCACAGGTTTGCCATCATGGGGGTAGGAGATATAGAAGCATGGGCAGTCGTACGAACAGGCTGAAAAACAGCTTTTATCCGTGGGTTGTCAGACTCCTGAATGCAACATAACTATGTAGTATGATAGACTCGGTCCAGGGCCGGCCCAATGTGCAACACGCTCACATTGGTGCAATATAATATAATGTTATGCACATATATGTATAGAGAATTGTGTGTCTGTTAATATGATTTATTGGGTTAGGGATTTTCCTTCTTTCACTGTGAGTTATTGAGATGTATTTAGGTTGGGGAGAGTGCACTAAGGGAGGCTCGGCTAATCTCATTGTACACATGTTGTGCATTGACAATAAAGGTTTGAATTGAATTGAGTAGCAGTGTGCCAGGTATGTAAATGTTTAGAATATATTTGTATAAAAAGTCTAAACTAGGCTGAAGTTCACAAACTCATATACCTATATGTATTTATGACTCTTTATGCAGGTTTGCTTGCAAAGAAAGCTGTAGAAGCCGGTTTGACAGTGAAACCATACATTAAAACTAGCTTGTCTCCAGGAAGTGGAGTAGTCACATATTATTTAAGAGAGAGTGGAGTGATGCCTTATCTTGCTCAACTAGGGTAAGACATTCCTTCTTTCGTTTTTTCCCCATTTATACTTTTAATCTCAAAAGTAGATTCCTCACTGCAAAAACAAAGAAACGTATGTTTAATCAAGTAGCTGTAACCAAAAAGTAAGGAAACTATTGCCTTAAAGAACCTAATGAAAATATAGCAATTGCAACTATATGTGCTGTTAAATTGTTACATTTTGGTCACTATAATATAAAAAATGTTGCGACTCTGGAAAGAGTGCAGAGAAGATCAACAAGATGATTAAGGGGATGGAGGTTAAAACATATATAGAACAATTGCAGGAATTGGGTACGTCTAGTCTAATGAAGTGGGACACAGTGGCTCAGTGGCTGACCATGTCGATCAGAAAGGTCGGCAGTTCAGCGGTTCAAATTCCTAGTGCCACGTAACAGAGTGAGCTCCCGTTACTTGTCCCACTTTCTGCCAACATAGCGGTTTGACAGCATGTAAAAATGCAAGTAGAAAAATAGGAACCGCCTTTGGTGGGAAGTTACAGCGTTCTGTGCGCCTTCGTTGTTTAGTCATGCTGGCCACATGACCACAGAGACGTCTTCAGACTGTATTGGCTCTTCAGCTTTGAAATGGAAATGAGCACTGCCCCCGAGAATTGGGAACAACTAGCACATGTGTGCGAGGGGAACCTTTACCTTTACCTTAGTCTAATGAAAAGAAGGACTAGGGACAGTGGTGGGAATTTAACAAGCAGTTCTCTGCCCTAATCATTTCTTCCAACAGCCAGTTCACCAAACTGCCCAGAAAGTTAACAACCGGTTCTCCCGAAGCAGTGCGAACTGTCTGAATCCCACCACTGACTAGGGGTGACATAATAGCAGTGTCCCCGGGATTGGGCGGCCTATAAATCTAATAAATTGAATTGAATTAAATTGAATTCCAATATTTAAGGGGTTGCCACAAAGGAAGGGGGGGTCAACTTATTCTCCAAACTACCTGAAGACAGGAGAAGAAGCAATGGATGGGCACTAATCAAGGAGAGAACCAACCTAGAATTAAAGAAAAATGTATTGACAGTGAGAACAATTAACCAGTGGGATAGCTTGACTTCAGAAATTATGGTGCTCCATCACGGGGGGTTTTAAAGAAGAGATTGGACAGCCATTTGTCTAGAATGGTGTAGCATTGCCTGTTTGTGCAGTGGTTGGACTAGAAGACCTCCAAGGTCCCTTCCAACTCTGTTATTCTGTTTAACACTTTGGATTTCCAGAGCATCTGAAGCTGCAATTATATATAGTTACATACATACATACTATCCACAACTAGTCATGTCTTCTCACTTCATGCTGCAATGGCTTTAAGAAGTTGCAGACAAGTACTTTATGAGTGATCTTGATCTTGTTTGCTCTTAAATGCCATATTTACAATAGAATCAGATGAGCTGCAGGGCTTTAAAAATCACTGGTTGCGTTGCTCTATATCAGGGTTGTCAAACTCGATTTCATTGAGTGCCGCATCAGGGTTGTGTTTGACCTCAGAGGCCAAGGTAAGGGTGGCCAGTCTTGTGGGAGCCTGTGGTGGCTCCAGTTCTCTGCCAGCGAAAGCAGGTTCCTGAGCTCTGTTTTTGCCCATGACGCCCTCCTGCAGCCCTCTGCCAGCGAAAATGAAGTTCGGGTGTGCTGCACGTGCTCCCCCCCCCCCGGGCTCCATTTTCAGCTGCAACAGCCTGTAGCCCTCTGCCAGTGAAAATGGAGCTCCATTTTCACAGTAGAGGGCTGCAGGAGGCCATCGCGGCCAAAAAAAGAGCCTGGGAGGGCCATGTGTGTCCCTTCTGCGCTCCGTTTTTGCTGACAGAGGCACTATTTGCTATTACTAGGATGGCCCCACAGGCCAGATCTAGGCACCCCTCTCTCTATAAACCAATTCACATGTTCAGCTGAAGAGGGGAGATACAAACCAAGTACAGAACATATTCAGCCTATGCTTTGTAGACATTGACTCTGAAGGTTAAGAAGGCAGCTGCACACAGCTAGTATGGGAATGTTGCATATGCCAGCATCATTCACTGGATTACAGATTACCTGGGAAGTGGAAGAAATTTCACACCACTTTTAATTCCATAAGAAAAGGAAAGAAAAAAAATTAAGTCCTTGGCGGTGATTCTAGGGAGATTCACTTACTTTCCAACTCAATTTGTATCAAAGAGTGCCATGTTTACTGTATGCCATATTGAGATGCATGCATGGCAAAGCCCAGCTCAACTGAATTGTACGTAAGAGGATAAAGTGTCTCATGATGTGTGGAGTTTATAAAATTAATCTTTATTAAACAACAATCTGAATACTTATCCCCCCTGCTCATAAAGTGATGTGTCAGAAAAAAGGTTAAGCTGGAAAAATTCCTTTTATACGCAGTCAACTTCCCCCCCCCCCCATCCTCGGTCTGAGCAGCAGTCTACAACCAGTTTTTACAAAGGCCATAAGCAGAGAGTGATTGTGAGAGGAAGTTATGGTTACGATTTCACTATTTGAAACATGTGGAACAATATATCTAAACAGTTATCCAGCCTCCTGCTGTCCCCTTCATAGGAATCAGATTATGCAAAGCTTCCTTGCCCAGTTAGAAGAATGTACCATCGTCATCACCAACACTGTCATTATTATTCTGAATTTATTACATGATCTGGCAAACAGGAGAAATGCAATTGTGTGATCTTTCCTTTTCTACTACAAGTCCATTGGTAATATATTGACTTTCATCCTCTCCACAGGTTTGATGTAGTTGGCTATGGGTGCATGACATGCATTGGTAATAGTGGGCCTTTGCCGGAATCTGTAGTTGAAGCCATTACTCAGGTATTGCTGAGGTTTTTTTGTCCCGTGTTGTTGCAATTTTGCATACAAATGATCAGAACCAAGCAAAAAATGGGATTGGCAGTGCCTGGATTTGTGGATAGAGGTGGAAGTATGTATGAACACTTTAGATATGCAGGAGCGAAGGCTTATTGTTCTTATAGGTAGCTGTTCACTTACTACTGTTCATTTAATAATGGTTCATAATTACAATGGCCAATGGACTCATCCTTGAAGTTGCAACTTTCACACCACTACCACAGTCACATGGTGGCAGGATGCTTGGCAACCAACTTTCGTTACAATGGTTGCAGTATCTTGTGGTCATATAATCACAATTTGCAACCTTTCCAGCTGGCTTCCAACAAGCAGATTCACTTAACCCTCATAAAAATGGCAGTAAAATCAGGTCTGATGATGATTTGTTTAATGACCACATTGCTTAGAGACCAAAATCATGGGCCAATTGTGGTTGCAAGTCAAAGACTATTTATAGAAGGAAAATGCTTATTTATTTTACATTGATCTAACATTGTCAGTGTAATATTTAATGATAGTTATCATGCTCTTGCACTGCACAGTTTAAGAACTATTGACATGATAGAATTGTGTCTCTTTAAAACAGAGGTGGGGAACCAAGGCCCCTTTATTATTTGTGGACTTCAACTCCCAGAATTCCTAAGGCCTGTATGGCTGGCTCAGGAATTCTGGGAGTTGATGTTCACGTCATGAAAGTGCCATGTTCCCCACCCCTGCTTTAAAAACAGTGCTCTCCCAACTTGACAACTTTACAATATGTAGACTTCCAACTCATAAGCTATCTGAGAATCCTGGGAATTGAAGAGGGCACATTTTAAAGTTGCCCAGTTTGAAAAATCCTGCTGTAAAAGAATTCCTTGCTCTTACAGTACAGGAAAAGTAACTTTGAACTTTATTTGGAAATGGATAGCCAACTTCCAGTTTTTATTCAATATTAGAGGCTGTTTAGCGTAATCTTTAATGAGGAGTGAGATTTCATGTGCCTTTAATGGACATTATATCTTGATGATGTGAACAAATAGAAACAATTTTTTCCCCAATATGGACGGTATTTTTGCAGGGAGACTTAGTAGCTGTAGGGGTGCTGTCTGGAAACAGGAACTTTGAAGGCCGGGTCCATCCAAACACACGTGCTAATTTTCTGGCCTCCCCTCCACTGGTAATCGCTTACGCTATTGCAGGGACCGTAAGGATTGACTTTGAAAAGGATCCTCTAGGTAAGGCATATCATTTGCAAACTATTTGAATTTTTGAAGAAGGGTGTGACTTTAAATAAGTTAGAAACCATACCAAATCTCCGGGTCTCTGTGTACAGATGGAGTGTGTAAAGGGATTGGGATCATAAAAGACTATTCTCCATATTTCTCTGTATTCCTTAAACATTATACATACATACATACATACATACATACATACATACATACATACATACATACATACATACATACTCATGGAGAAGGGATCAACCTGGCTATAGAAAATGAGATCCAGTTCAGCTCATTGCCTCTATGGAAGACAAGCTAGTCAGTGGTGGGATTCAAAAAAATTTACTACTGGTTCTGTAGGTGTGGCTTGGTGGGCATGGCAGGGGAAGGATACTGTAAAATCCCCATTTCCTCCCAATTAGCTGGGACTCAGGAGGCAGAGAAGAGATGGGGATGGGGCCAGTCAGAGGTAGCATTTACTGCTACTCAAACCTTCCGCTACCGGTTCTCCAGAACTTGCTGAGTACCACCTCTAAAGCTAGTAGTCTAAAGGATACCTGCTGAAAACCAGTGTTCCATTAATTGCAGGTGCCAATGCAGAAGGCAAAAAGATCTTTCTGAAGGATATTTGGCCTCTGAGAGATGAGATCCAAGCCATTGAACGTCAATATGTAATTCCAGGAATGTTTAAAGAGGTCTACCAGAAAATAGAGGTAAATTTAGTGTTAAATTGTGCTTTCTGCATTTGCTCTGATGTTACATTTGCTACTTGTTACCTGTAAGTTAAAATTTCAGTCGAAATCATAAAGGTTCCTCCAAAACAAGTGAGAGTTCCCTTATGAGCTGGGTAAGAGAATTATATTCTAATAAAAAAATCACCAGAAAGATGAGGAAAGGGCCAATATGGGATTGACCAAACTTTGGGGCACTTTTTAAACCTTGTTGGAAACAATGAAAATTTTGGGGAACCTGTTTTGGCTTGCCAAACAATGAGGAGGTTGGGAAGGAACATGGGCCAGTTCTGGAGTCTGGGGAAGGCGCTGATGGATGCTCTGCATCGGAAGCAGAGATAGAGCCAGGGCCGCCTGACATTTCCCAGCCACCCGAGAGGCAGCTGCCTTCGGAATCTGAGATAAGTGGCTAGGAAAAACTACTGGGGCCTGTTCCAGATGCATGTATGCACAGAGTTGTTAGGAGAGGAGAACAACTGAGGACAAGGAGTCGACTCAGGAAGCAATGCACACGTGGAGGCTGAATGGCTCTCCCTGGTTGGGGAATAAATAGAAAGAATGGGGAGTGGTTGTTGTAGGAGACAACAGTTCGGATTTCTGAAGATTTTGCTCATTGTGTTTCATGCTTGCCAGAACTCAATTTACAGCTTTGTGGCTGGAAGCTCCCAGCCTGGCAATTATCTCAAGGAACTGATAAGGTATGTTACTGCAGTTAACTCTTCGAAAGATTATTGCCTGGACTTTTCCGATGTGTGAATGCCATTAATTCACAGGACATAAATAAAGAGGGGGTTTTCGGGACAAGAATTCTGTTTCTTTTTTCTGCTAAGGCTGAGTCAGAACAGGGTCTTTTCAGAGAAGGAACATTATAAATAGGCACTATTTGACTTTCCTGGTCTCAAACTTAACCAGGTCAGACTAAGACTTGGCCTGATGAATGTGTAAAAGAATAAAGCCTTTGTTCAGAAATTGAACAATAAGCATAAACCTGCATGTTTTCATGTGTTTCTGAATCAAAAATAACTTTTATCTGACCTTACTTTATTTCCTTAGACTGGAGATAAAGGGATTTAGAAAATTTATGTTTGCTATGTTTGTATCCTAATTTTTTTTTTAAATTTTCCAGACAGTAAACAAATCTTGGAATGACTTAGATGTCTCATCAGACAAACTATATGCTTGGAATCCAAAATCCACATATATTAAATCTCCTCCATTTTTTGAAAACCTGGTAATTCTCTTTTCATGGCCCTTTGATGAATTTGCCGATAAACATGCTTTGTGTGTTGTGGTTTGTTTAAATGATTTAGGTTTTTAAAAAAGTTTCTCTAAACGTTTTGTAAAGTATAAACAAAAGTACCCTGTCTACTAACAAAGTATGAAGTATAAGAAGTATCTTGAGGGAGGGAGGGAGGGAGGAAGGAAGGAAGGAAGGAAGGAAGGAAGGAAGGAAGGAAGGAAGGAAGGATAATTAAAATGAGTATTCATTAGAAGGAAATAAACTTTTACATATGCAAAAGTATTTCAAGTAACTAGATTATCTTCTAATTAGGTCAGTGCTCTGATTGAATAACAATTCAGTTTATAATCTTTAGATTATTTGGATGCAGGAGGAAAGGTGGATATACAAATAGAAGGTGGGGGATGTGAACCTCTGACTATCTCCCCCTCCATATTCGTATCTCTGGTTAGGGAATTATCTATATGAATTGCTTCCTATTTACTTTTGGGAATAGCAAGTTTAGTAATTATTTTAAAACACTGTTCTTCCTAGAATTTGAGGTTCAAATTTTAGGCAAAACAGCACAAAGTGAGAAAAAAGAAAGGTTATGTACATTTAGATTTTTCCAATATGATTAAGAATGTCCAGTTCTTAGATACTTTGGAGGAATAAAAGCTTGGTATATTTCTGTTCTCATAAACCAGTCCTCATTCATATCCCTGACAAATAAACTTGACCCTTTTTTGTGATCTTTTTTCACCCCCAGACCCTGGAGCTTCATCCCCCTAAATCCATACTGGATGCTTATGTCCTGCTGAATCTCGGTGATTCTGTGACAACTGACCATATATCTCCTGCAGGGAATATAGCAAGAAACAGTCCGGCTGCCCGTTACTTGACTGGCAGAGGGTGAGTCCAGTTAACACCCTGAAGGAGAGGAATTCCTTCCGGAGAGAGAAATTCTACCTACTCTCTTCGCCGTCATTTAGTTGTTCGGTTGTAGATTTCAACAGCAATATCTAGAACCCAATTACTGGGTCTGTGTAACTACTGCCAGTGCTGAAAAGAAATACTTTGTAACTGCTCTCCTCATTGCACCAATTCTTGTGATGAGATTCCTGGTGTCTCTGTTTTTTTTCTAGACTCCAAGAAGAAAGTTACCGTATTTTTCGGAGTATAAGACGCACCTTCCCCCCCCCCCCACAAAAAAAGAGGTGAAAATTTGGGTACGTCTTATACATCGAATGTAGCCCTGCCCACTGCCACCAGTAGCCAAAAATGTGAGGCATGGAGGCAGCGATGGTCTATAGCAATCCCTGCAGCCTGGAACAGCTGATTGGGGGTATTCTGACAGTCCGATCCACCCGCCAATCAGCTGTGCTGAATCAGGCTGCAGAAAGTGCTGAAGCTGACCTGGCTGGTTAGAATTTGCAGCAGCAATCACATTCAGAAAGCACAGTAACTGATTCAGCAAGATTCAAAATAATAATAATATATAATACATTACCAAAAGCAAGTTTCCCAAGGTAGCAGTAAATGCAAGCAAAACACAAGCAGTTTCACTTTCAGTTCTCAGCTAAGCTAGGCTCCTTCCTGTCTCCTTGTTGCTCACATAGGAAATTCCATAGTCCAAATAGCCCTCATTGGCTGACTTAGTTGCTATGCCTATTCATTGGCTGACCTTGTTACCATGGATGCTGGTAGGCAGAGGCAGAATTTTTCTTATTATTATTTTCCTCCCCAAAAACTAAGGTGCGTCTTATACTCCGGAGCATCTTATACTCCGAAAAATATAGTAGTTTCTTTAATGAAAGAGAAATGCTATCCGTGCACAAAAGCAAAGCATATTTTCTGAATCATTTTGGAGGCACATTCATAGTTATAAACGTGTATCTAGTCACCCGTGTCCAGAGGTGGGATTCACTTGCCTTCCCTACCAGTTTGCAAATGTGAGTGCATGAGCCACCATGTGCACAGTGCTTGCGCATTACATCCGGGCATGTGGGCAGAGGAGTCATTGCTACTGGTTCACACGATCCGGAGGGAACCAGCTGAATCCTGCCACTACCCGTGTCCTAGAACAGTGTTTCTCAACCTCAGCTTCTCTGGACTTCAACTCCCAGAATTCCCCATCCAGCATGCTTTGTATTAAAGTACTCAGTCTTTAAAGCCTCCAAATTGTATTGTGTGATTCAAATGCTGAGTGTGGGATTTCTTTCTTTTGTGCATTGAAACATCTTTCTGGCATATTTAGCCCCTTGAATTATTTTTGTTTGTGTTAGAGGTATTACTCTTCCTGGATATACAGATGAGAAACAGACCAGATAATCTGCCCCTTCTTCATTGTAATGCTATATATCTGCCACCATTTCATTTACAGTATAAAAAACAAGGGACAGTCTCTTCTGAGCCTCTTTCACTAGCTGTTTTGCAGCTTCAGGCTATATCCTCTCTCATCTTATAAAGAGCCGTTGTGGCGCAGTGGTTAGAATGCAGTACTGCAGGCTACTTTTGCTGACTGCCGGTTGTCAGCTTCCAGCAGTTTGGCAGTTTGATTCTCAACAGCTCAAGGTAGACTCAGCCTTCTGTCCTTTTGAGGTCGGTAAAAACCCAGATTGTTGGGGGGGGGGCAATATGCTGACTAAGGGACGTGGTGGCTCAGTGGCTAAGATGCTGAGCTTGTCAGTCAGAAAGGTTGACAGATCAGCAGTTTGAATCCCTAGCGCCATGTAATGGAGTGAGCTCCCGTTATTTGTCCTAACTTAGCAGCCAACCTAGCAGTTCAAAGGCATGTAAAAAAAATGCAAGTAGAAAAATAGAAACCACCTTTGTTGGGAAGATAAACAGCATTCCATGCACCTTCAGCCTTTAGTCATGACCACGGAGATGTCTTCGAACAGCACTGGCTCTTCGGCTTTGAAACAGAGATGAGCACCACTCCCTAGAGTCGGGAACGATTAGCACATATGTGCAAAGGGGACCTTTACCTTTACTTTATGCTGACTATGTAAACCTCTCAAAGAGGGCTGTAAAGCATTGTGAAGCGGTATATAAGTCTAAGTGCTATTGCTATTCCTACCTGATTGTTTCCTCAGTAGCATTTTTTGCCAGTTGTTCTTAGTTTTTCTCACATATTATTACAAGGGATCATTTACAAATGTTTCAAATGTTTTGAAAATGTTTTGAAGATGTTCCACAAGTCTATTCTTCCTTGATTACCTTTTTAGAGGAAGCCCTCAAACATGGCATCCTAAAGACTTGATTGGGATTGGGTCTCCTAGAACTGTCAGCCAGCATGGTAGATATTTTTCAAGTTGCATCTCAACAAATCTGAAGAGTTCAAGTTAGAGAAGACTTGAAAGATATTTGCTTTACACACACACACACTTCCTCTTAGCATAGATATTCTGCCAATGAAATCTTTGAAGTAATATTGTCCAATCAAGGTTGTTTGAGTGGCTATTGTGTACTACTGTAGGGTTCCTTCATTGAAAGAAGCTTCAGGCCGGGGGATTGAATCTCTCTGCTTATTTATTAAACACTTTAGAGCTTTTGAATATTAAGACTTGCCTCTTTTGCCTCTTGATAGTCTCACTCCTCGAGATTTCAACTCATATGGCTCACGCCGGGGCAATGATGCTGTCATGGCAAGAGGAACTTTTGCAAACATACGTCTATTGAACAAATTCCTTAAGAAGCAGGCTCCGCAAACCATCCACTTCCCATCGGATGAAACTGTAAGTATTTTCCCTCCCACCATTAGGTTTCGCCCCCTTCACCATGTAGTTTTGGCTTTCTTGCTGCTGCAGGATTGTCTCCTTTCAGGCAGAAGTTTCAGTCTATGTGTTTAATAGGCTGCAGCTTGCCTCCAGAAGTTATGAATGCTCCAACACTGGAAGTCTTTAAGATGTTGGATATCCATTTGTCTGAAGTGGTGTAGGATTTCTTGTCTAAGCAGGAACTAGACTAGAAGACCTTCAGGGTCCCCTCCAACTCTGTTATTCTAAATTATATCCTCTAGTTCAAAGTGATTTGGGATCTTTTCCTGTTATGAAAATAACACATTGGGTGATTTCCCAAGACATGGCTTTTGCTTGCCATCTCGGTATGGGTGTGTGTGTGTGTGTGTGTGTGTGTGTGTGTGTGTGTGTGTGTAATAAATATACAAATAAATA